AAAAAAAAAAAGAGGTCAAAACAGGGTGCATATTGGATAAAATAAACTGAATGAAAGGGAAATGTATGTTCATGGGAAATAGAATACCTATGTGTATAATACTTCAGAGTTTATAAAACATTTCTTCATAATGACTCTGTGGTGCAAGTATTATTATCTCCACTTCACACAGATGAGATAACTGAAACTCAGAGTGATGAAATGACTTGACCCAGACTGCACAGTAAACAGAGCTAGGGCTTGAAACCAGGTTTTCTGACACTGAATCCAGTCCTCTTCCTACTACATCTTTTTTTTGGATTATCTGTGAAAAGTAGATGTAGTCTTAAATATTAAATTTGTAATAGGATATTGAATTCCATGTAGATATTTTAAAAATATGATAATGAGGTGATAAGTGAATCTTTAATGGAAATATGTAAGACCATCAGGTGCAAATTACTAGGATTTAGATTTTAATTTAATATAGGACCTTTCCAACAATGTGCTAACAGTGAAACTAGTCTACCTCAGAAGGTAGTGAAGAAGAAGTTGAATAGTAAATTATCAGAGACAAATTATAGACAAGTTAAAAAAATATCAACAACAACAAAAATAATGATAGCATTTGCATAGCTCTTTAAAGTTTACAAAGGACTCCTCAAATAATGTCTCATTTTATCTTCACCAGAACCCTGGGAGGTAGGTTCTATTATTAATTATATATATTATAGATGAGTAAATGGAGATAGAGGTTATATCCTGCCCAGGGTCCCATAACTACTAAATATCTGAGGCTAGATTTGCTTTCACTCTTTCCTGACTCCAAGTCTAGTGCTCATCTGGGCAACATAACTGCCACTGGACTAGAACAAATGACTTTCAGGTCCCTTATAATTCCAAAATTCTGTGATTTTTTTCCTGATAATCATTCTTTATTTGTTGCATATAAAGCTAGAGCTGCAAAATGTCGATTACATTTTAAACAAAATTTTTAATGCCCAAAGTTCATGGAAATGTATCTAGCTTTAAACCATTTAACTTTTGTCAACAAAGGTAATATTAAAAAGGTAATCACATATGAATGCTGGCAGCTAGGTGGCGCAATGGATAGAGCACTAGGTCTGAAATTGCAAAGACCTGAGTTTAAATAGGCCTCAGACACTTACTAGATGTGTGACCCTACTCAAGTCACTTAACCACTGTATGCCTTAATCCACTGGAGAAGGAAATGGCAACACACTCCAGTATCTTTGCCAAGAAAACCCCATGGACAGTATTGTTGTGGTATGGTCCATGGGGTCACAAAGAGTCAGACATGACTGAATGGCTGAACAACAAATATTCAATCTGCCACACAAATACACTTACTTTCATTTCTAGCCATTACAGTTTAGCTGATGTGTTTTTAGGAATAGAAAATAATAGAAATGAGCTTCTTCCAAAGCAACAGCAATGACAACAACAACTCTCAATCTACCTGAAATAAGCAAATAGCTACACTAAACCCATTTTTTGAAGGAGACAGAATTGATAAAGAAATTAGTCTTCATGGGAAAATCAGGCACTGCAGAGACTGTCAGAGGTCTTTCTGTTATAGGAGAGGGTTCTGGGTAGCACAAAAGGATCCAGGATAAGTTTGAGAACTATCTTCTACACACCTGAAAATGATGCTTCTGTTATACCTAAATGACTTTCAGGGATTATTTTGTTTTAGTTTTTATTACATCAACACTTATAGCACTTCAGAGCTGGCACTTAGGGTGTGTGAAATGTTGTCCAAAGTTCCTGCTTTTTGTTTTGTTTACTGCAGTATAAAAGAGTTATATTTAATTCCTCATAAAATATCATATTTATCATATTTTCCCAAGACAATATTTTTGGGTGAATGGGAATACATTAAGATACATTCATTCTGCAGAAAGTACTCCGGGGCTACTTAAAGCCAAAAGAAGGAAAAAAAACAAACCCTTGTCACAGGTCAAAAATAGGATTTGGATTTTCATTTTTATTTTATCCAACAAAGGAGGAAGATAATCTCAAACCCAAAGCTCGATGAAATACCAATAGAATGAATTATCTATTATCTAAACTACAGTTCCACATGCTGTTAGATTTGTTGGTCTCATTTTCTTAATTACAGCCTTAACTCAGCAACTTTATTCTGAATATGAGAAGAGAACCCTAGGTATAATGTTCTCAGGCTAGTAATCTCTACTGGATGATTACTTACTCAGTGAAACACAACAGATAAAAAATTTCTTTTCATTTAAAAAAATAAAATAGTGGATTACCTACTACTATGACACAGTGAAGATACACATAGAGACCTTAGGATATCATATTATTCTTATCACAAATCTATCACAATGCATTTTCTGGAGCTATTCAATTCTTGCTCAAATATTAGAATGAAATCAAGAGTCATCTTTCCACTTAATGAAATGAAATACATGGAAATCACCTATCCCATTACTCTCTTATTCTCTATGTCCCTTTAGGAAGTACTAATTGTTCCAGACAATCAGGCATTTGCCCAGTGGCCTGTGGGAAAATGGAACTTTTTACATAGTATTTCAATAGTTCTGTAATTGTCATTAGTCAGTATTTCCTTCATTGGTGCATCTCCATCTTTCATACTGTTCAATTATTTATCCACATTCTATCTTAGATGTTCCATGGAAAGATCTGTCTAACCTGCTAAAGGCCTATACCTCTATCCTTTTACATTTTGTGGTTACCAGGCAAGGATTCAGGCAGCCCATCAATTATTTTTGACTTTGCTGCATGATTAGCCCATGTCCATATATGGACATGCATTGTCCATACATTATCAATGAAAGTATTCTGAGATCTATATACATCTATCATCCATTTCTCCATTGACCTTCAGATATCTTGTTTATTTGATTATCTGAGATAATGATGCTCTAAGATTCACAATCATGCTACCACTAAAATAACATTTGCATTTAAAAGCGTTTTTATTTGTCTGGTTTTTGCACTAAAGAACAACTTGAGATCATTAAAGGCACTGCACAAATTCCCAAGTGCTTCTTCTCATCTCTGTAGTAAATTCTGGGTCAAACTCATTTACTATCTACAATGTTTGTCCCAGATATATGTATAGTTAGCTGTAAGGCTTAACAGAGAGAGTGCTGGCATTGGAATCAGGAAGCCTTGAGTTCAAATCCTACATCAGACATTTATTATCTGTATGAACCTGAGCAAATTAATTAACTTCTCTGCTTCAGTTTCCTTGTCTATAAAATGTGTTATTTTAAGGATCAAAAGAGAGATCAGATAGAAGATGTTTTATTATCTTTAAGGAACTATATAAACATTATATATTATTATTATTGATATGCTAAGTAATAGAGAATCCACAAACTCCTACTCTCATGCTTCATCATGGTGTGGAGGTGACCTTTAGTTCTCACATTATGCCAGTGGAATAAAAGCACTGGAAGGTTCTACCAGGTTGGAAAAGCTTTGCCTATGGCCCTGAAAACAGGCCGAGTCTTTTTTCCAAGGACCAACCTAGCTTGTTACTGAAAGGCACATCACTATTAGGCTGTCCATCTGGTTATGAAATAATTTTGGCCATAACAATGCATGAAATAGAGAAAAATAAAATGTGAACCTCACTCATTGTTTAATCTTATCCTTTCAATTCTGTCATGATGGTGACAGAATGGTGGGAAAAAGGACAGAGGATGCTAAGATTCACAGTTTTTATATCATCAACAAACTTCATTTGGCTGTTTGTGATATACATATATATATATATACACACACATACACACCTTATATATACACATACATACATACATACATATACATACATATATGTGCATATATATATACGGTCCTTATCCAGTGACTAATGAGAGGACATACTGTTGGAGCAACTGAATCATGACATTCTTGCTTATAAATGAAACCAGAAGAAGAAAGTGAGTTGTAGCTAAGTGGAAAGATGGCTTATAAGTATTCCTTAAAGAAGGAGAGATTAAGAGGAGTTAGTGGAATGAATTTTGTCAAATGGCCAAAGATGACATGGAAATGTTATTTCATGGAGTATTTGGTCATTATACATTACAATACTAATGCTAAGTATTTGCAAAAAAAAGGCCATTATGAAAATAATTTCAATCTTTTACCAACATTAGTACTGAGAATGGAGTGATAGAGAAACTATGAAACATAACAGTCTGAGGCTTCATGCAATCAGCACATTCATCTGTAGACCAGAGTATCAGGAAAATCACTGGAACTTTGTGCAGGGCATCCTCCAAGACAGTAGTAAACACCTGTAATGTACATACACACATCATGGAATATTTTACAATAGTCCTTGTCAAATTCTTCTTTGTAATCAATATAATGAATAAAGAAGAATTTTATATTCAATATTTATTTCAGTCATCTGAGTGACTAGAATGAAGTGATCTACTGTGGAAAATCATTAGTAAAAACTGAATTATTTCCTTCTTATAATTTCATAAAGGATGATGATTCTCATAAAGACAAAGGTATTATAAAGTGATATAGTAGGCATATGGGTAACCAACTATTGACATTCTCTATCACATTTTTCTGGGTGGGGAGGTGAAAAGAATAAAAATATTACCTAAATTTGTTCCATTCTTTTGGAATCATCCCTGTCCTGAGATATCTTGTAAGAAAATCTTCAGTACTTTGAAAGCTGTTTATCTCTTAGATTAATATCTTTGGTGAATGTTAGATATGATCCAGGTATTTCACCCAACTGCTTCTCAAGTTCCATTTCTACTTCTTCATATAGAACACCAAGAGCCAAGATATCTGGGTCCAAGTTTGTTGGCTCCATTATCACTGATGATGAAAATAGATTTTTTTTTGGTGAGGCAATCGGGGTCAAGTGACTTGCCCAGGGTCACCCAGCTAGTAAGTGTCAAGTGTCTGAGGCCAGATTTGAACTCAAGTCCTCCTGACTCCAAGGCCAGAGCTCTATCTCCTGTGCCACCTAACTGCCCCCAAAATAGATTGTTACAGAAATGCAGATAAAATGTTATTTTCCCATCCATTTATTGGGATAGGAACTACTTTTGTCAGTTTCATCTATGAATGGTCTTGGGTTGATGTGGCTTATGAGTGCCTGACACCAATATTACTGGAGACATTTTCATTTCCATCCCTTTTCACAGTCTTATGGGGTGATACTGCTAATCATCTTTCATCATCCTTCTCTACAGTATTTTACAAATGTTTATATTCTAAACTGGTGTTGCTTGTGGACAATATGACTCTACATTTGGCAAGAATATCAAGTATTTTTTGGCTGAGGTGGTTTCTGGGCTCAATTTGAAAGGCAGTAGCAGAAATTTGCAGTTTTCTTGACATTTTGCCTGGACTTGGCATCGTGGGAATTTGCCCTATTTGAGGAGTACAAGTTCCACTTTACCCTCTAACTCTTTGCAACCCTCCTACCACTACTTACTGTTATATTACTTTCTCAGATCAATTCTTTTTTCTTTTAAAATCTCAAAAAATACTTTTTTCTTGTCCCAGAATGTTAGAATTGGAAGAGAATTTAAAGGGGATAGACAAAGGAATATGCAGATTGGGGAGGTGTAGTACTGATAGACAGTATTCAATTCATGGAGAGACACAGGAATAAAAAGTGGCTTTTGCCTGATCAAATGATATGGATAGGATAGGGATTAAACCTATGACTCCATTCCTATAGGGAAATCTCAGATGAAGAAACTCCCTCTACCAATATAAATCAATTATTTTCTCAGAAGTTTGCCCACTGACACACAGAAAGTATGTATCAGAGGTAAATCTTGAATCTAAGTCTTTGCTTTAAGGCCAACTCTTGATCCATTATGTTCTGCTTCTTAGCATGTAACAACTCTTACCACATGAATCAAGAAAAATAAGAAGTAAAAATGTGTTTAGAGAAAGGTATGGGAAGATCAATGGTAATCAAAGTGGTTATTATGACTGGGAAGGTCACATGGTGATGGAGACTACTGGATCCAGACACTCACCTCACTTTTCTGTTTCCTTGCAACATAATTCTTGTGAAAATGCAGACAGATAGCTCATACATTGAGGAAGCCTTCAGTTCCAATTGCTGTATAAGACTGGAGTAGGGGCCATGCTGTGGCAGTGATGAGTGACAGTAGCAGCAATGTTTTATTTATGCTCTGTGGACCCTACAGTGATGAAAAGCAGAGTAGATGCTTAATTTCACAGAAGGAAATATGGGATAATTCTTCAGGGTTTGGACTAGGTGACTTCTTCTGTCCCTTCCAATACTATGGTCCTGAAATTAGATTTTAAAAATTAATTTGCTAAGTCTCTCCTCTCTAGAGTTTCAAAACACTGTACTTTGTGTTTTCCTCCCATTTAATTGACCGCTTCTCTTAGTTCCTTTCCTGGATATCAGGTCATGCCCACTAATCTAGACAACTCCCAAAGCTATGTTTTGGTTCATCTTCTCTTTTCCACCTATACTGTCTCTTTTGGTGACCTCACCAGCTCCCATAGGTTCAGTTACGATCTCTATGCTTCTCAGATTCGAACATAATCAACTGATTTTGCACATCTCAAATTGGATTATTCTCAAACTCAATATGCCCCAAACAAAATTCATTACTTTTTACCCTCAAATTCTCTTCTCTTGTCAGCTTTTCTATTATGGAAAGATCACCATCATCTTTCCTGTCATCCAGGCTGTTAATCTCAGTGTCATTCTCATCTCCGCACATAGACCTACTCATCCCACATGATCAATCTTTTGTCAGATCTTAAAATTTCTACCTTCATAACTTCTTTCGTATATGTCACCTTCTCTTTACTCACACAGCCATCACCCTTGTACTGACTCTCATCACCTCTTACCTGAACTATATGTGTTGCAATAGCCAGCCACCTGTGTTCTTGCCTCAAGTGTATCATTCTTACTGATATATGTATAAATTATATACTGGAAACTTTGGCACCATGTCAAAATGAAGTTCTTCTTTCAATTGTATAAAATCAATTCTGACCAAAGTTAATAAGTATCAACCTGGAGTTTTGAGGCAGAATTGATTAATAGAAACTGAATGACTTAGAGAGTTAAATGGATTTGTCTATTAGTCTGAAGTATAATTTAAGATCTTTTCCTGATTGGGACATTATGACCATTGTACTTCTTTTCTTCTCCCAATTTGAAATTCCTTTCTCTTTTGCAACTTTATCTCTCTTTTTAAATCTTTCTCTTTTCTTATAAAACACAGAGTACAAAAATAAATTCATTATGCATAATATTTAATATGTTTTAATGTCTTCCAGTTTTTTAACTCCTTCCCTGTAATTAGCTAATGTGAAAAGATACATCCAGGTAGCAGAAATAGCCAGGGTTTTTCAGTGCCTTGACAAGAATATTGTCCTATAACAGAGAAAATAAAAATGCCCTGTATTTTCCAGGAACAATAGAGTCTTGCTCCCAAGACATTTGTTCAACTTTTTGCAAGCGTTCCCTTTTCTTTCTTCAGTGTATATTGGACATTAGAGTAGCATGGGAAGATTTGTAAGTATTAGGAACTGTTTTGACTTTTTGTTTTGATTGTTATTTGCTTTGTTTTATGTGAGGTTCTTCCTATGAGCTCACCCATGGGTTGATAGGAGGGGTGGCATAGAAAAGGTAAAAGATGGGAATTATAATTATTTAAATGACTGATTTAAAAATAATAATTTGTAAGTACATAAAATGAATTTCATTTAGGAAAGATTTTATTCAGAAAAATGTCAATCTATGGTAAATATTTTCTAATTTCTCAGAGAAAACTGAACTTTTATAGTTCTTATATTTCAAAGTCTGCCCTTTACTTTCACTCTGAAGGAAAGAAAAATTGGAATGGGAATGAATAATATTTTGCTATTTTGAGAATTCGTGAAAATGTGACCACTGTTATCACAAATACTTGTCTTCCCTCATTTCCTGTTGTTAACAGTCAAGTGCTTCACACTTTCAAGATCTAAAAGGGTTTTCCCAAGCTCTCCTTCAGTGAAATATTTCTTTGTGCCCTTCCTGTATCTTCAGTGCTTAACTATGATAGAAATAGGTTAGGTCTATACAGCATTTTACACTTAGCTAATTCACTTATAAAATAAAGGGGCAGACTGGTTGTTTGATTCCTTTTCTGTACCCCTTGATTAAAGCAGTCCCAATTTGTTAACTTCCTTAGACCTGAGCTCAAACCTGGCTTTAGACACTTACTAGTTCTGTGACCCTGGGTAAGTAATTTAACTATTGTCTGCCTCAATTTCCTCAATTGTAAAATGGCAATAATAATAGCACTTCCCTCCCCTTCTTCCACTATGCATTCCAGCCAAAACCACCTTCTCATGAGGGATTTCCTGATTCTCCCTAGCTGCTAATGTTCCCTTGTTCATTTTATTTTGTATTTGTTTATATGTGCAGATTGTTTCCCCAATAGAATATAAGTTCCTTGGAGACTAGGACTATTTTGGTTTTGTCTTTATATCTCCAGTGCCTGACATATAGTAGGCTCTTGTTTGTTGATTGATCAATTAATTGATTGACTGATTAACCTGTGTCATAGGTATTTGACATGTTAAGGATCTCAAAGGTGGGTGAATGTTTGAATCCTAACCCAGTGCTCAATAAAACATTTTACTCAGATACCTGAGGAGATGAAACATAATTTTTAAAAATAATTTTTGAAATGACTCATGATTCAATGAATTTTATTATACAAATGATCAAATTATTTCTCCTATGTATCTAGTGATACAGCTCATTGTAATAATAATGATAATAATAGTGCCTTGTAAACATATGGAGCTTTATACATTCTTCAAAATGCCTACATACACTATTTCATTTGATAGCCCAAGGAGTTAGGTAGGGATGCATTATTTCCCTCATTTTACTGATGAAAGGATTATAAAATGGAACATCTATAATACAGCTGCTATTCCTTTCCCCAGACCTTAGCAGTGTTATGATGGGCTTTAAATGTGATTACATTCTATATTGTTTTCTTGTTCAAAGGAGGGGGGGGGGACACCACATGTTCTAAACTTTTTGACCTAGCTTGGACCAGGATTTTGTTTTGTTTTTGCTTTTAGAAAGAGAAGTGCTGTTTTAGAGAATGTATTCCTAGCATGTTTGTTTCCAGTACTATGCACACATTTGTGTTTCCAGTGAAAATGTATGTGTTGATTTCAAGTTCATCACATTCAAAGCACTAAGACGCTCTTGAAGTACTACCTGGGAGCAGTAATTTATTAACTTAGTCTAGAAAGATAAAAAAAAAGTTGCTTTAATTGGTGTGATTTGAGAAGCGGTACCACCAGAAGTATGATTTCATAGAATGCTGAATTGGTAGTCAAAGGACCTGGGGTTGAATTCCACCTTTCACTTATTATCTGTGTGACACTGAAAAAGTCACTTCTCTCTGAGCTTCATTTTTCTCATAGGTAGAGTGAGGAAGTTGGATGAAATCATCTATGAAGATCCTTTTACTTCTAAACTGATGATACTGTTACCTTACCCATGTCACCCAATACACATTCCTTCCTACTTAATATAAGGTACTTAGAAAACTTGCTCAACATATTGTTATTTTTCAGAACTGTACAGTTTTTTTGTGTATATGGTGTTTTTTTTTAAATATGGCCCATTCGGTGAGCTTGTTGACTATAGCAACTGTTGAAGAGTATTTATCAAGTTGTAGAGGGACTGATATCTGTTTCAATGTAGGAAGTAGCAGAGCTGATTAAATCACAAATCCCTAATGATGGCTATGGCATAATAATTAGGCAAAATGGGTTCACTGATAGAGGAAACAGGAAATTCTTATTAATAAAGAAATAATTTTAATAAATTAGCATTTTATTTAAATGGTAAATCATTAACAAATACATCATTTAAAAAAATTTTAACCAATACATGATTGTTGAAGAATCAATAATTCATCTGAAATGACTATGATATATAATATGTAATTTATCTAGCATCTATGATTTATAACATATAATATCTACAATAAAAATGACTAGCATTTTTATGGTGCTTTAAGGTTTACAAAGCATTTTACGTATGTTAACTCAATTCAGATGCTAGGGGGATCTAATTGTTCACTGATTCTACTGCTTGACTACTGGCACCTAAGGTAATTTCCCACTTAATTTTGTTTTGTAAATGTTCACCTGACTGAATAATTTGTAACTGTCACTTCTGGCCTTGTGGCACACAGATGATAGCACCGGAACTAGAGCCATTCGAGTTGAAAGTAGTGCTCTAATAATGATGGAACAATTGGCCTATATTTTTAGTACTTGAATTTTTTTTAGTGCCTTGCCATTTTTGAACTTCTTGAAATTACTTCTACCTTGCTGTCCTGCTTCCTATGATTGTGCAGTGATATACATCGTAAGGCTTGATGCAAAGACCTGAGAAATGTATAAATAGAACAAGCAACATCTTTCATGCTGAGTGCTATACTTTCTACTAATTTTAGATGTATAGGAGAAATTAGTTCTCTTGTATTCTTCAAATGGTTATAGCAAAGAGTATTTGGGCACTGTGTGAACTGACCTAAAAAACTAGTATCTGATTCTTTAGATGTCCAAAGATTGAAGGACAGACCTTCCAGGATGAATGAAAGGGCTCTCCTTTTGTCTTTGATGTGTTATACCTCCATACATTCACAATTTCATCCAAGATTTACAGATTATTCAGCATAATTATGCACTACCTGCCTGGAAGAAGTAAGTTAGCTGGATATGCAGAATAATTTACATGACAGTCCATCCCCCAGTATCTCAGAAGTCAGCTGTAAATTGAATACATACTAAGGAATGTGAAAAGATATACATATGTACAATTTCAATATAAATCTTATCCAGTTCATATTCTATGTGACCCTATGGTCTGAACATAAAAATGCATAATGTATCAAAAGAAAAATGACTCATGGTAATTGGATATATGCTGGGCAATATGTAAGTTTTGTAAAACTTGTTTTCTAGGTTTGAGGGTAACTTATTCTGATAGAAATATCTAATTTTTAATTTATTTTTTAGTTTTGTAGCAGCACTTAAAATAAATCATTTCATTGTTTTATAAATGAGGGCCTTGACTTTCATTTTTCTGTTAAAATAAAATGAAAACTAGGCAAATAATTTTTCTGATAAATCTAATATGAAAATTTTTAGTCAACACTTTATAAAAGGTACCATAGGATTGATGTTTCACTGGAAGGGTCCTAAGAGGTCATATGGTCCAACTCAGTTATTTTGCAATTGAGAAAATTGGAGACTTGGTAGTTTAATTTTTTCCATTATTTAAAAAGCACAGAAACTTTAGAAATGTATTTAGTTCCAAATTTTCCCTCTTTCCCTCAATCCCCCCACATTAATAAAGCAAGAAAAACAAAACCCATTACAAAGATGCACAGTCATATAAAATGAATTTCTGCATTGACAATTTTCAATTAAAAAAACCAACATGCTTCATTTTTCACTCTATAACTTTTCTACCTGGAGGTGGAAAGGATGTTTCATCATGAATACTTTGGAATTGAGATCACCATTAGATTGATCAGAGCTACTAAGCCTTTCAAAGTTGATTATCTTCATAATATTGCTATTTCAGTATAGATTTTTCTCCTGATTCTTCTCATCTCACTTTGCATCAGTTCATATAGGTCTTCCCAAGTTCTTATGAAATCATCCTTTTCATCAATTCTTTCTTATTTTGCATTTTTGTTTAATATTTTATTTTTCCCCAATTAAATGGAAAAACAATTTTAACATTCATTTTTAAGACTTTGAGTTCCAAATTGTCACTTTTCCTCCCTCCCCACAACCTCCTCCCCATTGAGAAAGCAATTAGATATTGGTTGTACATGGGTAGTAATGCAAAACATGTACATAATTGTCATATTATGAAAGAAAACATAGACAAACTCAAGAAAAATAAAGTTTAAAAAAAGTGTGTTTCAATCTGTATTCAGATACCATCAGTTATTTCTCTGGGGATGGAGAGAATTTTTCATCATAAATCTGTCAGAGTTGTCTTGGATCATATTGTTGAGAATAGTTAAAACATTCACAGCTGATCATATTATAATCTTGCTGTTACTTTGTACACAGCACATTTCACCTTGCACCAACCCTTTCCAGGTTTTTCTGAGAGCATCCTGCTCATCATTTCTTATAGTACAATAGTATTCCATCATAATCATATACTGTAACTTATTCAGCCATTCCCCAATTGATGGGCATCCCCTCAATTTGTAATTCCTTGCCCTCAAAAAAGAGTTGCTATAAATATTTTTCTACATATAGGCCCTTTTCCTTTTTGTTTTTGTTTTTTAATCTCTTTTTATTTAGCATTTTATTTTTCCCTAGTTGCATGAAAAAACAATTTTTAACATTCATTTTTAAAACTTTGAGTTCCAAATTCTCTCCTTTCCTCCCTCCCTCTCATTAAGAAGGCAAGCAATTTGATGTAGGTTATACATGTGTAGTCATGTAAAACATATCCACAATAGTGATGTTGTGAAAGAAAACATAGATGAAAAAACTCAAGAAAAATAAAGTAAAAAATAGTATGCTTCAATCTGTATTCAGATACCATCAATTCTTACTTTGGGGATGGATAGCATTTCTCATCATAAGTCCTTCAGAGTTGTCTTGGATCATTGTATTACTGTGAAGCTAAGTCATTCATAGCTGGTTATCTTACACTATCGATCTTATTTTGTACACAATACATTTCACATTGCATTAGCCCATGCAAGTTTTTCCAGGTTTCTCTGAGAGCATCCTGCCCATCATTTCTTGTAGTATAATAGTATTACATCATATTCATATACCACAAATTGTTCGAGCATTCCCCAGTTGATGGGCATGTCCTTAATTTCTAATTCTTTGCTCCCAGAAAAGAGCTTCTGTAAATATTTTTGTATATATAGGTCCTTATCCTTTTTGTTTTTTATGCCTTTGGGGATACAGACCTAGTAGCGGTATTGCTAGATCAAAGGGTATACATGGTTTTATAATCCTTTGGTCATAGTCCCAAATTGCTCTTCAGAATGGTAGAATCAGTTCACAACTCTGCCAACAGTACATTAATGTCTCATTTCTAACATATCCCTTCTAACACTTGTCATTTACCTTTTCTGTCCTATTAGCCAATCTAATAGGTATGGGGTAGTACCTCAGAATTGTTTTAATTGCATTTCTCCAATCAATAGTGAGAATATTTTTTCATATGGCTGTAGATATCTTTTATTACTTCATCTGGAAACTGATTATATCTTTTGATCATTTATCAATTGGGGAATGGCTCTTATTTTTATAAATTTGACTCAGTTTTCTATATGTTTGAGAAATGAGGCTTTGAGAAACTTGTTTAATTTTTTTCACAGTTACTATTGCTAACTGTATTTCCTTCCATCCTATTCATCCTGCCCCATTTATTCTATTCTCTCCTTTCACCCTGTCCCTCCTCAAAAGTGTTTTGCTTCTGACTACCTCCTCCACCAATCTGTCCTGCCCTTCTAACACCCCCTTCCTTCTCTTATCGCCTTCCCTCCTACTTTCCTATAGGGTAAGATAGATTTCTATACCCAATTGTGTATGTATGTTATTCCCTCTTTGAACCAATTCTGATGACAGTAAAGTTCACTCACTCCCCCACACCTCCCCTCTCATCCCCTCCACTGTAAAAACTTTTTCTTGTCTGTTTTATGGGACATAATTTACCACATTCTGCCTCTCCCTTTCTTTTCCTCCCAGTACATTCCTCTCTCACATCTTAATTTTATTTTTTAGATATCATTCCTTCATATTTAGCTTACACCTCTGCCCTCTGTCTTTATATACCCCTTCTAACTACCCTAACAATGAGAAAGGTCTTATGAGTCACAAATACCATCTTCCCATGTAGGAATGTAAACATTTTGATTTTATTAAATCCCTTATGATTTCCATTTCCTGTTTACATTTTTATGCTTCTATTGGGTCTTGTATTTGAAAGTCAAATTTTCTACTCAGCTCTTGTCTTTTCATCAAAAATGCTTGAAAGTCAGGGCAGCTAGGTAGCGGAGTGGATAAAGCACTGGCCCTGAAATCAGGAGGACCTGAGTTCAAATCCGGCCTCAGATCAAACACTTGAAACTTCCTAGCTGTGTGACCCTGGGCAAGTCACTTAACCCCAATTGCAAAAAAAAAAAAAAAAAAAAAAGAATGCTTGAAAGTCTTCTATCTCATTGAATTTCCATTTTTTTCCCCTGAAGAATTATACTCAGTTTTGCTGA